CCATTTGATGCCAAAGATGGGCGTTCTATGACTGCATTTTGGTTCAAACGATGCCTTCTGAATAGACAAGAGGTCAATCGTTCCTGGTTGGTGTGTTCACCTCTACATAAAGCAGCATACTGCTTTTTTTGTCTTCTTTTTTCATCTACATATATGACATCCGATAGTCCGTCTGCTTTCATGGTAGATTCTCTAAGTAGAAAAAAAAATTGAAAAGTTAAATGCCCATGAAAATAGTGACAGTCATCGTGAGTCATTTGCTGCTTGGAAAGAAACTGAGCGCCAAATTCGTCTTCAAAGTGGCATTGATGAAGAGCTGCAAAGGCAAATTCAGCAAGAAAAAATATATGGAGTGATGTACTGCGATGTTTGCTGGATTGTACACAATATTTAGCTTCTCAGAATCTTGCATTTCGTGGTCGTACTGAGGACATAACCTCAAACAAAAACCCTGGAAATTTCCTGTCACTTTTGCAGTTATTAGCAAAGTATGATCCAGTAATGAGAGAGCATTTCGAGCCTGTTAAAAACAAGCAAACGTCAACATGTTATCTTTTTCCTAAAATCCAAAATGAGTTTATAAATCTCATGGTTTCACATGTGCGAAATTATTGTTTGTCAGCAATTCGCAGAAACAAATACTATGGTATTCTGTTTGATTCCACACCTGATTTAGCCCATCGTGAGCAATTGGCCCAAGTGATTCGGTTTGTTGACATTGACTTTAAGACAAGAAATGTAGAAGTCAAAGAGTCATTTATTGACTTTATACAGATAAAGGAAAAAGACGCTGCCAATATTGAGAAAACAATAAGCATAAAATTAGAAGCAGATGGAATTTTATTGAGTGATTGTTGTTCACAATGTTATGATAATGCTGCTGTAATGTCAGGTCATCTGTCAGGCGTTCAACAAAGAATTCGAAACAAAAATCCAAAAGCAGTGTTTATAAACTGTGACAACCATAGTTTGAACTTAGCATGTCTTCATGCTTCAAGTCAGGAAACAACAGTTATTACCTCTTTTTTTTTTTGGTATACTTAAAGCCATTTATAATTGCTTTGCTCATTCAACAACTCGATG